TAAATATAATTAAAAGAAAATAGATTTTATTTAACATTATATGATTTTTATTTGATCAAATGTTAAAAGATAAATATTAGCAATGATTTTCTAATACAATTATCTGTTATACAATTAAAAAATATTGATTTTTTGCAGATTGATATTGTTTCTCTATATTTGATATTTTTGGTACAAATGATTTCTTCTGGATTACAAATTATATATACTCAAGATGAAGTAGCATTTGTGCAAAATCTTGTTTATTATGTAGAAAGAGCATATCGTACACCAGATTATGGCATGTGGGAACGTGGTAGTAGATATAATGATGGTACACCTGAAATACATGCAAGTTCAATTGGTATAGCTAAAAGTGCTCTTGAAGCTATTAATGGATGTAATTTATTTGGAGAAAAAGGAGCTTCTTGGTCAGTTATATATGTTGACATTGATGCACATAATCGAAATCGTAGTATTTTCGAAACAATGCTTCCAAGAGAATCAAGTTCTAAGGTAAAGTTGTTTTTATAATATAATTTTTTATATATTTTATTTAATAATATATTATAATATAATATAATACATATTTAGAGTGTAGATATAGCTTTATTGCCAACAATATCTTTTCCTGCATTTGCTACTCATGAAGATGTATTGTATAATGAGACAAAAGCAAATATTGTTAGGAGATTAAAAGGAAATTATGGATTTAAAAGATTTGGCAGAGATGGATATAAAACAGCTATAGAAAACAAAGATCGGCGATATTACAAATCTGGTGAAATCAAGGTCTCTGATGTATTTGATTGTTAGTATATATTTTTGAAAAGTGCTTAAATAATTTCATTATGCTTGTAATTTCTATTTGTTTATTTTTTATAATTCTCTTTATTATAATATTAAGTGATTATAATATTAAAAAACTTTTTTGTTGTAGGAATTTGATAATATAGAATGTGAATGGCCTTTATTTTATATATTTATGATTATTGATGGTGTTTTTAAAACTTTGCCAGAACAAGTAGAAGAATACCAAAAATTATTAAAAGAAAGAATATATAAAGATATGAATGGAGGTATATTGAAAAATATATAAATATAGATTTAATTATAATGATATAGAATTATAAATATAATATTATATTTTATTTAATTAATAGATCCTGTAATACCTATGTATTATTACATACCTGAGGAAAATTTAGAGGCAGAAAGAAATGATCCTGGTAGTACGTATCGAGTTTCAAGCAATGAAGGCAAAGGTCAGAAAAATTCTGCAGATACAGAACTTGGACCCATGTATTTATGGAATCAAGCTATGTTTATAATTGCTCAACTACTTACTGCTAGTTTATTACATATTAATGAATTAGATCCAATTAGACGTTATCTGCCTTCATATAATAGACCACGAAAAGCTGGAAGGTATTCAGCTTTCCAAGTAAGTAATAATGTAATTTAATTAGCATATTTATTAAAATATATTATAATTAGTTGCATACTAAATTATTTGATACATATTTGTTTCATGCAGGCTAAACCAAGTATTGTAAGTAAATAATATGTGTAGTATAGTATATTTTGCAGTATTTTTTTTTAATGCTTGACAATTAAATTTATAATAGCTTTATAATTTTAATTAAATAATATTTATATATTTGAAGCTTTTAAACAAATATAATATATGCTTGAATAGTAGATTTGTATTAAATTAATTGTAGTGTTAAATGTAAACTATTTGTTTGATATTAATATCAAATTATTATGTTAATTGTATTATATAATTGTATTATATAAATATTTTAATAAATATACATTCAAAGCTGTTTAATAATATAGTGCATGAAGCTTGAATCAAGGCATGATTTATTTGATCATTTATTTTTTTAAGAATCTTCTTTGAATTTCAAATCTTTTAATTTTAGATATATTTAGACATGAAAAAATTTAAATAATATTAGCAATATTCTTTATATATTATTATAATGCATGATTTATCTATATATTACTATAAGATTTTTTTATATTAGGGTACTCATACTGATCTTGTAGTACAAATTGTTCTTATTGCTGAATCTATGAGATTACAAGCTATGATGGCAACATATGGTATTCAAACACAGACACCACATGAAGTAGAACCTGTACAAATATTATCATCTACACAATTGGTAAAAGTCTATGAAAAATTGGGAGTAAATACTAAATTAAATTTACAAGGCAGACCAGGAAGACCTATTGGATCTTTGGGTACAAGTAAGGTATGTAATATATAAAATAAAAATTTTATAAAAATCATCAATATTTATTTTTTTGTAGATCTATAGAGTATGTGGTATGACAGTACTCTGTTATCCTCTAATATTTGAAGTGTCAGAATTTTATTTGTATAGAGATATGGCTTTATTAATTGATGACATTAAAACTGAGCTTCAGTTTGTAGGCAAATATTGGCGACTTTCTGGTCGACCCACTGTATGTCTTTTAATTCGAGAAGAACATATGAGGTATTTATTAATTTTATTAATTTTTAAAACAATTATTAATATATTAAAAAATAATTTATTAATTAATATACATAATTTTTTACATAAACTTTTTATTTAGAGATCCACAATTTAAAGAAATGCTTGATCTTTTTGCTATGTTAAAAAAAGGATATTGTGATAAAACAAAAGTACGAATTGGTCGATTACAAAATCTCATTTCTTCTTCTTGTATTGGTAATAATTTAATATTTATATAACTATATCAATATTTATTGTTAAATATTAACAAAATTAAATTTTTTATACTATAGAACATTTAGATTTTATAAATACTATAGAAACAGATCTTGAACTTAGTCAATTTAAACAATTAGAACATGATTATATCGGATATCAAAGTTTAACGGATGTACCTAAAGCTTTAACTTATACAGAAGATACAAAAGATTATTCAGTAAGTATCTGTAAATAAATATTCTGTAATAAATAATCTATATATATATATTTTTTTGTTTATTTTCATTATTTCATGTTTCAGTATTATATGAATGAACCATTGTATAATATATTAAATGAAATTCGTAATAATAAAAGCTTGTATAGTTTATGTCAACTTTATGGTATTTTATTAAAACGAGAAGGAATTAACTATGAAATTAATGGGATAACGGGTATTAAATTTATATTCTTTAGAAATAATATAAATTATTATTTAATAATATTATAAATAATTTGATTAATTTATTTTAATTAATTTCATTTTAGTTGAAAATCATTTAAGATCATTATATCAACAAGCAGGTTGTCTTAGATATTGGATGGTTGTTCGTTATTGTAGTAGTTTATTGCATCATACTGTTGATAGCATAAGTCCTTTTATAACTGGAGTTCTTGTTAAAGGAAAACAGGTATTTTGAATTAAGTAAACGATTATTAATATATTTAATAATATAATTGATATTAAAATTTTTGTATTAATAATTTTTTAATATTAGATAACAGTTGGAGTAATTGGTCAAGAAGAAACAGTATTTGATAAACCAATGACACCTATAGAAATTCAGTCAGTTATGTATTCTACAATTCAACCACATAATGTAGTTCAAACTGTACTTCAACAAGAAGTCTTATTATATTGTGGTCGACTTATTGGAACAAATCCAGAAATGTTTAAAGGAATATTAAAAATTCGTATTGGGTATATATATATATTTTTTTTAATAATATTAAAACTTAATATTTATATTAATATTAAATACTTTTCATATTTATAGATGGGTTTTAGAAGCAATAAAGCTTTATTTACAAATGTTTGTTAAAAACATTAAACCAATTGAAAATTATAGTCCATATGAAATTCGACGATTTCTCATAAAAGTATTAACAGTTAAATATTGGGCTAAAGATGAAAAGTATACCAATTTATTTATACAATATTTAATTAAATATATATATATATTTCTATATATATTAATATATTTCTTCTATATATTTGTATCAGACTTACAGTTTTAGGACGCAGAAAAATTGAAGGTTGTTTATGTAGAGTACCTGCACATTTTTATAATCATGTTTGGGAAGTATTAATGCGTTGTCCAGATGGTATTTGTGTTAATGGACGAGAATTACCCCAACAACCTACTTTGTCTAATATGACTCGTTCAGAACTTACATTTGCTTTGTTTGTGGAATCTTTACTTCATAATATACAATTGCCAGAATATCGACAAATTATTGTAGAGGTAATTTTTTTTTATTTACTTATTTTATAAATTTTTTTAATCTAAGAATGCTAAAATTATAAAAATTTTTGGAAGCTTATATCTTTTTATTAAAACAAATTAATTATGATTTTATTTAATCTTCAATTTTTATATTCGTGGAAAAATATATAATATAAAAAAATATTATATACTTATATGTTATATATTTTATATTTATTTTACATATAATATGTATAAATTTATAATGTTTTTTTATAGTTACTCACTATAGTGTCAACAATTTTACTTCGAAATCCAGAATTAAGTTTTCAGAAACAATTGAATCTAAATAAACTCGTTGAAGATAGTTTCTTCATGTATTGTAAGGTATATAATATATAATATACAATTTTATACATACAATTTAATATACAATTTTATACATAATTCAATATCATTAATAATTGTATTCAAATTTTTTTGTTTATAGGATCATAATTTAGAAAAAAATGCTGATCAATCATTATTTTTTTCTGCTAATTATTCAATAACTACAGGATATCTTGCTAGAGCTGTAGTTAATAATATGCTTACTGGAGGATGTTTTGCAACTATTAATGATATCAATGATGCAATTGAAAATAGAGAAACTTGCAAGATCACATAAAAAAAATGTCTTTTATCATAATAAATTATTATGTAAATATATTAAAAATTATATTAATATATAAAAATGTAGTATTTTCTTAGTACATATATTTCTTCAATAAAAATTTATATATCAGATACTATCATAATATTATAAAAGTTATAAAATACACAAATATATATTAAAAGATATATATATTTTTATAGATTACATTTATAATTCTTATTAATCTTATATCTCTTACATTTATAATTCTATATTTATTAGAAATAATTTGATGAAATTTACATAATTGTATAAATTTAGATCATTTAAAATCACCTTCTAGCGAAATTTATATCCATAGCTCCTCCAGATCGCTGTATATTATTTATATTAGCTTTAATTCTAGAGGCAACTGTACCTATATCTGCAGCAACTGCTAATTGTTTTCTAAGAAAATCTTGATTATATACTTTTCTATTATCTATTTCTTTTTTTTCTTCTTCGCGATATTTTTTAACATTTTGTTCTCTTTCTTTATCTCTCCATGTTGCATTTGCTATCATTTCTTGCCTACGTTGTTCTTTTTCTTCTTCTGTAAGATTTTGTTTCTTCTTAAAATTCCATTTATCTCTATTTCTGTCTTCTTTGTAATACTTTTTAGTTCCATCAGAAGATAATTTAAAATATGTTTCTTTTTGATGTAATTTCTTTGAAATATTTTTATCTTTATCCTCAATATTATTTTTATTATTATATTTATTCTTAAAAAAATTATTTTTTCTATCTTGAGGACTTTTTAAACGAATTTTTTTGTCTTTATGTTTAGTTATGTCTTTTTTATATAATTTATCTTTTCTTTCTTGAATTGAACTATTATCACTTTCTCTGCTTAAACTACGAGTCCTAATATATTTTTCATGTAATTTATATTCTTTTTCTTTTTTATCATATATAGATTGTTTTTCCTTATTATATTTTGTAATTTGAACATTTATCTCTTTACTTTTATTTCTTTTTTTTTTATATTTTTTTATATGTTTATTATTTTCACTTTTTTCACTACTTTCTGATCTGCTACTTAAATTATCATTCTCTTCTTTTAAATTTTTGTTTTGTTTATGTTTTACCTTTTTCATTGATTTTATTAAATCTTTATTATTAATTTTTTCTTTTAATTGTTTATATTTAGTAGCCAATAATAGATCTAATTGTGCTTCATCATCACTATCTATATCTTGTTTATTTCTTTTTTTCTTCTTTTTCTTTTCACTTTTATCCTTTTTTGTTTGCTGTTCCAACTTAAAATTAATAATGAATAATTAATTAATAATAATAAATAAATATTATTAATATTATTACTAATAATATTACAATATCATTATTGTATTAAATCAATATTATTATTTACATACCAATTGTCTTAATTGTTTTAATTTAACAGGATTTTTTAATAATTGATTTCTTGTTTCCATTTCTTTTTTTTTAATAGCATATAAAGGATCTTCTTGCATTTTTCTTACTAAATCCACTTGTTCATTACCAGAAAAAAAACGTAATGACGGTGGAATACATTCTAAAATTATATAAAATTAATTATATATATTGATCATTAATTACTAATGATTTATAATATTATATATAAATATAAAAATTAATACCATGTTCAACATGATTTCTTGGTACTTGATTTAATTCAGTACCCTTTTCTACTTGAACCATTTGTTCAAAAGATTTATCAATTGGTCGTCCAAGTAAATATTCTT